CATCTACTATACATCATGCTCTCTATCAAGTGTTGTATACACAGTGCTTCATTTATTTCTCTTGATACCTCTGAGAGATGAATATTAATTAACTAAAACAAATTTGCACTTGAACAAGTAAGTTTGGCTTAACAGTGGCTTCCCTTTGTAATGATCTGCGACTTACTTGATGTTAAAAAATTGTAACTTAACCTAAGCATATACCCTTGTAACCAAGTAACTGAGTCTTAACCAATCATAGTACTTAAATTTAACAGCCAATCAGAGGTTGAATACTGCCAAAACATGACCATAGAAGGTAATTGCCAACTGCAACCAATTAGGTTGTTTGGGTATGTCAACTCTTTTTCTCTAGCTATAAATATAACCTGTATATGGTTCCAGGTTGCATTGTGAATCATCTTTGGTCTGGAATGCTTCCTGGTTCTAGAACTCTTTTTTCTTGCTTGAGTAAATTTTGCTAATTAACTGGTCTCCGTTTTTTTCTTTGAATAATGTTACCATCTCTGCTTAACCCTGATCAATTCCTCTTTGGAAAGTCATGCTATCCATGATTCCTTTCTTCTGAAAGTCCTTGATGCATTATGATCTCCCCTAAAAACAGGGATTCTCCTTTGGTCTAAGGTTGCCATCTTCCTGGCATGTCATTGTCCCTTTACAACTCCTTCCCACACACTAGTCTCCCAGTTCTTGATTTCTTCATCTTTAGGATCTTCACCTCTAAACCTCTTGACTGTTCACTGTTTAGTCACCAAGCATATCCTGCGCTCCTCACCATTAGGAAAGGCCTCACCTTTGTTGTAAATCCTAACATCCACCCTGAGACTGAAATAACTTCCCACCCTTTTGGCTCTGCCAGATAGTAAGGGTTGGGGATGGGAGCACAAGGTAGATTTCAAAATACTTTTCAATATTTTCTAAGATGTGTAAAATGTAAAACATTAATAAAACCTTTTAAAACCCTCTAAACATTGATTTCTTAATCTTTAAAAATAATTGCCACTTATCTGCACACCCATACCTCTCTCCCACTAGAGAGAATGTGGTGGAAAGGGAGATGACCAGCTAGGAATATGTAGTTGGAGTTTATTGTTTTGGAAAGTCTCCAAAAATTATAATAAACACAGTTGATATAAATCACATCTAAGTGGCCATGTGCTGATATGCAGGGTATGGTGGTTAATTTTTTGTCAACTCTGCTAGGGCTGTGCTTCCCAGTTCTTTGGTCACACATCAGTTTAGATGTTGCTGTGAAGGTATTTTTTAAATATGTGATTAACATTTAAATTAGTGGACTTTGAGTAAGAAGATCACCCTCTATAATATTCATAAGCCTCCTGCAACCAATTGAAGATCTTTTTAAAAATTTTTTAATTAAAAATTCTTTTAAATATACATGACAATAGAATGTATTTTACATACTTGGAGTATAACTTATTCTAGTTAGGATCCCATTCTTGTGGTTATACATGATGTGGAGTTACACTGGTCATGTAATCATACATGAACATATGAAAGTGATGTCCCATTCTGCACTTCCTTCCCTTCATTCCTCTTTGTCTAATCCAAAGTACTTCCATTCTTCCCGACCCCACATCTCCCCCCTAATCCAACTGAAGATCTTGACTGATGTTCCCTGACAAAAAAGTTCTGTTTCCGGGCTGCCTTCAGACTCAAGACTGCAACATTAACTTTTCCCTGGGTCTTGGCCAACAGGTCTTCCCTGCAGATTTTGGTCTTGCTGGTACCTTGCAATGTCATGAGCCAATTCTTTAAAGTGTCTATCTATCATCTGTATGTCTGTCATCTGTCTGTAGGTCTGTATCTATCCATCCTATTTTCTTTGGGGAACACTGATTAATAAACTAAGCAAGGACCAGATGTGCAGACAACAACCCCTGTGCCCAGGACAAAGAAAGTGACTAGGACCAGCCAGTGTAACTCATTCCCACCTCCTCCCCTAACCACGGGTCTTTTGAGCCTCTAATTCCTAGGATCTAGTAACACTCACTTAACAATTTTTTGTTTTGTGATGGATCCCAGGGCCTCTGTGTGTGCTAGCCAAGTGCTCTACTTCTGAGTTACATCCTCAGCCCTCCTCCATTGACATTTCTTGACTGAAGGTGATTTTCAGCCAGTGTGTGATGTCATTAACATTTTAAGCTTCTTCTTCCCAAGTTGAAGAACGAAGAACCTTAACAAACCAAACAACCAACCAACTCAAGAATGTTCTACTGGCAGGTGAGGCACCTTGAAAGTAAATCTGCATCAAGTCTCTAGAAGTGACAGAGCCAGGTTTAGTGGAGCCTAAAGCTAATACAAGTTTGGAGAACTATCTTTAGGAAAAAGAATACCAAACAGTCTCACTTTTGCAAATCTTCAGTGATGTGTGATCATGTGAAGACCTTCCCAGGGCTTTTAACAGGATGTGTAAACTGAGAGGACTTGAAGCTTAAGTTTCCTAAGTCTCAAGTTAATCTGGTTCTGCTTCTGGGCTTTTTGGGGTGAGTCAGAAAGAAGGGTGCTGGCCTCTCCCTGAGTTGGTGCCTGACTCCCTGAGAAGGGAGGTTGGGGCTGGCTTGGTTCCTGCTTCAGGAAGACACATTTTCCTTTCTCTAAAATGCAGTCTCAAGGAGGCCCAGGCTCTCATCTCTGGAGGCCCTCGTGGCTCTGCAGTACTAGAAAGTGAAGGCAAAGGCAGACTTGACAAATCCCAGGCTGCATGATGAAGGTATGCCCTGACGTGCAAGCACTGCCCCTCAGCTACACTTGATCATATTTTTACCAAAAATCAATTGTTCATATACAGTGGAGATCTACTTCTGGACTTCTTCATGTTCCATTGATTTATTTTTCTATATTTACATCAATAACATGTTGTTATGATTACTATATGCTATAGATTGTGTCTCCCCCCAGAAATTCATATATTGAAATCTAATCTCCAATGTTATAGTAACAAGATGGGCCCTTGGAAAATGATACAGACCCGAAGATGGAGCCTTCACAAATGGATCAGTCCTCTCATAAGAAGAGGCCGAACAGCTACCTTGCACTCTTTGTGATCTCTAAGGCTATAACAGAACATCAACAATCTATAACATGGAAGAGGGCCATAAATAGAACTGACCAAGATCACACCCCATCTCCGACTTCCAGCCTCCATTAACGTTGAGAAGTAAATTTCTGTTGTTTTTAAGTTGCTCGGTCTATGATGCAGTGTGATAACAGAATAATACACTGTAGATTTGTAAACTTTTCTACTTCTTTTTCAAAGGCTTTTTGCTGTTGTTGTTATTCAGATACTTTTCATTTCCATATGAATTTAGAATCAGTGTGTCAAATTTTATGAAATAATTTTTATGTAAGGATTGCTTTGAATATATTGTTCAGTTTATGGAGAACTGGCATCTTAACAATGCTGGGCCTTCTGACCAATGAACAAAGAATGTACCTCCACTTATTTCATTTTTAAAGATTTTTTTTAACAACATTTTGCAGTTTTTGGTGCTTGAGTAACTCCCTTATTTTATCAAATTTATCCCTATTTTAATCATTGTGCCAGTTTAAGTGGTATTTTTTGGTTTTAATCTCAATCTGCATTGTAAATATATATAAATAAAAGTGATTCATGCACCCTAAAAAAAATAAATAAAATAAAATCCAGTCTCCCTGCCCAAGCCTTGCCAGTGTGGGCTGTTGAAACTTGGCCTTCCTCTTTCCTGTCCCTTGCTTCCCTTCTCCAAAATTAACCCTTGACCAAGTCTCCAGGGACTGTGGTCTATGCCCTTGAACGCTGTTTCTTTTCTTTTCTTTTTTTTAATATTTATTTTTTAGTTGTAGTTGGACACAGCATCTTTATTTTTATGTAGGGGGCTGAGGATCAAGCCCGGAGCCTTGCACATGCTAGGCAAGTGCTCTACCGCTGAGCCACAACCCCAGCCCAGGGTGCTGTTTCTTTAGAGGGTGTCCAGTGGTATTTTCCAAGGACAGTGTGCAGCCTGCCTCTTCTTCTGCTTCTTGAAGCTCTCCATTCTTCAAGGGCACCACTTCTGGCTGCATGGGGAGAGGTGTGACTGCAGCAGCTTCATGGTGGGCATTTTCTCTATGACTCTTTCTTCACATCTCTGGCCAGCATCTCCTCCCTTCTTCCCATCCCTTTATTCAGACTTCCAAATACTGTGTTGTGGGGAGCCACTCTGAAGACCCATGCCTTCCCTCTTGAAGCATTAGGTTCTGACCCATCACTACATTTCGTGGTCACCTGAGTGTTGTCTCAGCCCAGGAAGTTGAGGGCGTGTCTTCAGAAGCTACACGTACCTTTTCCTTTGTAATCCTACCCCTTTGCCCTGTTTGGGATAGAATGTTCCATAGAAACTCCCTTTGTATGTCCCCTTCTCTTACTCTGCCCTTGGATGTGGCCTTCCTAGATGTCAGTCAACCTGCTGACAGCAGACATCACGAAGCTAGACTCAATCCCCTGAGACCTGACCCCTTGCCTTATTTGAATGGCTTCTCCCCAATAAAAGGGTTCAGCACGTGCTCGCTCTCTCTCTCTTTCCATGGACCCTTAAGGTCAGAGGAGCCATCACAGGACCCAGAGAAAAAGGTATCTCTGACTCTTGCGTGATTATTTTGTGCAGCCCGGTTCACCTGGAGTGACCCTGAGTGCTTTAGTCACGAGGGATGCGACACACTGTGTCTCTGTCTCACCTAAGCTGACTCATATTATTAGAAGCAGATTGTTTTCTTTCAGATATTTCACCAAATATGTGGATTTACTTGTGTCTCATTCCAGGAGAGTTCCAACGACGGGCTAAAATTTTCTAGAAATCCCAGGGTGCAGACATCTGCAGGTTCTCTCTGAGCTCTGAGTTCTTGCATCTTCAGAACAAGGAGATCGGTGACACTGTTTCACGGCAGTCCTTCCCCCTCTGTTCCCCCCAGTTCAGATCTGGGCCTTTTCTCTGGTTTCTCCCCAGAATCATTCACACAAGGCATAATATGTGTAAGAGACTTTACTGAAGGAGTTGGAATAATAAAGTTGTTTTACATCATAGCAAAAAGAAAAAAAAAACTTAAAAAAAATTACATTTAAATCATCCTAATTTTTAATAACCACCTTTGGGAATTCCTCCTTGACCTTTTTTTTCCCCTCACCACTTGAGACTGTGCTAATTTGATCATCTCCGCTTCCTCCTTGCCACTGAACTCTCATCCCTTACTCTCTCAGGAGACAGAAGTAGCCTCATTTAGTTCAAGTTAAAAAAAAAAAAAGACATACAAATTATTTATCCTGCTACATTTAATGTGAATTAAAAAAAAATAGAGAGAGAAAGGAAGAAAACATCTCACCATTGTGCAGAAACAGACCCCTCTGTCTTTCATCCACTGAAACACTTCTGCAATAGGCACACGCCTGAATCCTCCCCAGACCCCCACTCACCCTCCTTCACCTGTTTCCTATTTCCTCACTTCACATCCTCCCCTTGAATCCCAAAAGCTATTAGAGAGAAGCACTACTGCTCGTTCACACTTCATAGGTGTGCATGGCCAGGAACCATATGAATAATGGAACAGCCAAGGGACTCACCTGGGGAGAACAGAATGATAGGTAAGAAGCTATTCTTGGGGCTGAAAGGTTTATTTCAGAACAAGGAAGATGGCCCCTGGGATGGAAAGCCATACTTTAGATTCCAGGACATTTCTGTGCTATCCATGCAGTGGCCTCCCTTGAAGTTCTCATTACAATATGCATGGGAGAAAGACAGTTTCAGTACCTAGATACCTGCATCCTACAGCATGGCCTCTGCTCTGAGCTTGTCTAGCTCTCCACCATTGGATTCTGTGGGGCACGGCTGGTAACTGGGATCCAGGGTCGCTGTCCGGGAGGAGCAGTGGTGATGCCAGAGGCTGCAGAGGCCATAGATGGCAGCCAGCAGAGCAGCCCCTAAGCCCAGGTGCCAGCAGAAGAAGATGGAAAGGAAAGTCATATCCTTGGGGTTGTCTGCCTTCCAGGGTTGTCCAGAAGGAGGACTGTACATCACCACAGATAACTGCAGCATCCAAGTGCTGAGCACCATTCCCATCCAGGTCTTGAGCACCCAGAGCGGAGGCTGGTCAGGGACCCAGACCTCGATGTTGAGCACCAGGGCTACCAGGAAGGTGGGCACCAGGAACAGAACGTGCACCCGGATCTCCAGGGTGCTCTTATTCTCAAGGTGGGCTATCATCAGCAGCACCAGCACATAGAAGGCCATGGCCTCAGCGGCTCGCTCCAGCTTCCTGCTCTGCTGAGCCAGACACAGCTGGCTGACAATGTCCACCACGCCACTGAGCATGAAGAACAAGTACATGGTAATGTGGTGCCAGGCATCCGTGAACATGAATGGCCGCTGGGGGTCCTCCCAGTCCACCATCTTCATCCGGTTTATCCCTGGTGGGTAGAAGAACTCAGTTAAGATGCCAGTGAGAGTAATCACCACCTTCACCATTCCTTCCAGTGGTACCCGCTGCCACAGCCTGTGTCCTTGTTTTTCCCTTGGGGGAAGAGGTGGCTTGAGGACCCTCTGTCCCCGTAGCAGAGCCAGGGACACTAGCACTGAATAGTAGAGTGCGTAGAAGAGGAAGAATGCTGCAGCCAGCAGGTGCCCCTCAATGGTTCCCATGGCGTCAGTGAGTATGTAGAGGCAGACTGACAGGACAGCAGCTGCACATGAGCTGCACTGTCACCAGCTGTTCTCACAAGCCTCTGAGCCACACAGAGAAAGAGACAGCACCCCAGGAGCCCTGCTCTGCCTCCCACACACAGAAGGAATATTCTCACTGTGTCACCTACACCACTCCCAGGGTGTGGCCTTTGTGGGCTGTGACACTTCAGCCATCGCACTGTGCTCCTTACTGAGATCTGCTGGGTCTAGGGTTTCAACCTCTGCACCTCCCTGAGGCCATCTGCTTCCCCATGCCACTTTGCCCCTTCCCTTGCTGGTCCCAGTGCTCTGGTGCTTGAGCCCCCCAGGGAGGAGAGAGCGAGAAGCAAGGGGCTCTGGCAAAGAGGCCTGGTAGGCTGACTCTCTCAGGTGGACTGTCTTTTGGTCTCAGGCATATTACATAATTTTATTTCATTTAAATTCCTCAACAACTCTGTGAGGGAGGTATTGTTCAACAGACTTTATGGGTGAAATGAAGAGAGGTGACAGGACATGCACAGGGTGGTTCATCTAGCAGCTGGCATGGTGGAATTGGGGTGTTGATCCAGGTCCACTGCCTTATGAAGTAGTTTGTTCATAGCAGAGTTTCTGAAATCCAGCTCCAACACCTGCAGGTTACGTGACTATGGGCAAGTTACTTTGTCTTCTTGAGCCTTGGTTTCCGTGGAATTTTCCAGAGTGGAAATTATAATTACTTCACAGGTTTGCTGTGAAGATTAAATAGGATAATATATGTGAAATGTCTGAATCATAGTAAATACTCAATAAATGGTGGTGATGATTAATGATTTCACTTTTGTTATTAGTGGCATTCCTTGCTAAATTCCTATGAACCCAAAGAAGCATTTCTGTGAATGATACCAAAGCAAGAAACATAAAGAAGTAAAATAATTAATTACATCTTTAAAATGTTTATTTTTTTATTAATGAAAATTAAAAATTACATTTATTTATTAAAATTAGTTAAAAAATAGATTTTAAAAGAAAAGCAAACTGTCAAATTTTATCCCATATGTAGCAAACTATTCATTTCCTTACAAAATAGAGAGCTCTTAGAAGTAAAAAAGTTAAAAATAAACACCTCAGTTAAAAAACAGCAAAGGATGTAAAATACCTAGTTATACCAAGAAAAAACAATAAATGTCAAAAAAGATGAAATTTGAGATTAAATCTGACGGGTAAGGTAATAAATAAAATCAGCATGATACCTGTTATGGACTAAATGTTCACGACACCCCAAAATTCCTGTGTTGACAGTCTAATCCCAAATGTGATGGTATTTAGAGGTAGGGTCCTCTGGGAAGCAAAAGGCTTAGATGAGATTATGAAAAGGGGACTCTCAGGATGCAGTTAGTGTTCTTATAGGAGGAGGAAGTGAGAGACTGTCTGTGAGCATGCACTGAGAAAGGCCCTGTAAGCACATGGAAAGAAGGTGGCCATCTATAACTTGGAAGAGGCACCTCACCAGAACCTGACATGTTGGCAACCTGATCTTGGACTTGTGGCGTTTAGAACTATGGGAAATTAACACCCAGTCTATGTCTACATTATTTTTTTATAGCAGCCCAAGATGACTAAGAGCATTTTGGTACTATGAAATGAGATGCTGCTGCAAATGTCTAAAATTTGGAACTGTGAGGGGTAAAAGGTAGAGTATTATGAACTGAATGTTTGTTCCCTCTCCCCTCGATTCTTATGCCAGAGTTCTATCTCCCATTAGCATTTGGAAAGTGAGGACTTCAGGAGGTAATTAGATTTAGGTAAGGTCACAAGAGTATGGTCCCATGATGGGATTAGAAGATGAGACACCAAGCTCACTTCCCCATGTGAGGACATCCTGATCTTTTTCGCATGTTACAATGAACAGTATTATCTTTGCAATCAGAATCTATCTGAAAACTTGAAATCAATTATGCAATTATTTGATGCCTGGGGAAAGCCTCTGATGTGCAGGCATCAAGATGTGGCAATTTTTAGATGGTAGTTTTATTAATTTGTGTCTCTATTTTTGTTTTTCAAATATTCTACTCTGATTTTATTTTATTTTAGATAAACTTATTAACACGAAACACTTCATAAGAGCTCTTTTCAGCACCAAAGTTTATACATGTATACTTGTGTAATTATTTATGGACATATATGTGTAATATTGACAACTTTGAAAGGCACCCAAAAACACAAGACAAGTCCTATGACATAAGAAAATGCCAACCCAGAATGAACAAGTATTATCATTTGTCCTGCTGGCTTCCAGGGTTTAAAAAAAATAGATAAATTAAACCTTCAAATCTTTCTAGTCCTCCTCCCACACCTCCCTTCTTCCACATGGTAAAGGAATATCATGATTTGGTGGGGAGGCTTCCTGTCATTCCGTTTTTCTCTTTCTTTCTGTCTGTCTAATCATTTCTATGTATTGCTAGTTCTGCAGCGACAAGGAACAGAAGGAACTCTTCCTCCAGCAAGGCACTGGTCATGCCTCAATTAGAACCCATGTAAGTGGAGTTCCTTTGTAATGAAGTCAGTGCAGTTAAATAAAAAGGGGGGGGGAGGGGATTCAAGAATCATGCAAAAATATAGTTGATGGGAACCATATGTCCAAGTGGCCATGTTCCAGATGAGGCGAGCGCACAGATGTGCTGGTATTAAATTCCTCCGGATTCCTATTTTGTCCACACAATAATTAAAGGTAAGCAGGACTCACCTTTATCAACCACTCCAAAACGTAGCTCTGGGTGTCTAGCATGTCTGTCTCTCCCCAGCTCACAGATCAACTTCCAGCTGCCAGCAATCGCCATTGGCTCATCATCCGCTACCCTGAATCCTCTGGCTTTCCAAAGGAGCTGGTGTTGGATAATAATCACTTATACTTGTTGACTGATAGATAAATCTCTAGCAGATGAGTTTCAGTGATATCTCACTCTGTCATTTTAAGTCTCTCAATTCCAGTTGAAGAAGGAAAATCCTGAATTTTTCTCACAGATAAAGGAATCCCGGGCCTCAGCCAGCAGGTGCTGAGGTGTATTGGTTCTGGGGCAGGGATTCCTGAAAATAAACCGGATTCAGACCTTCTGAGCCAGTTATCCTCAAGGCTGCCCACAGGAATCATGGGGAGTTTTAAAAATAGCACCTCTGCTTGGGCTTCTCGCCTCCCCCACTCCAATGTCTGAGTTTAATTGCCCTATGCTTGGACTTGGGTTATGCCTATTCTTAAAACTCCCTAGGAACACAGAAAAGGACAAATACTGAAAGATTCCATTGGTATGAGTTACTTCGACCAGTCTAATTCAGAGGTAGAAAATAGAAGGACGGTTTCTAGGGGCTTGAGAGGAGGGTGGGGAATTATTGCTTAATGGGTAGAGAGTTTCAGTTCAGGAAGGTAAAGAGTCCTGGACAGGGATGGAGGTGAATGTCCTGAATGCCACTAAACTATGTACCTAAAAATGGATAAATCGATACATTTTGTGTTATGTATATATATTTTACCACAAAGTAAAAGTGAAAAATAGAATCTCTGAAAACCACTTTATACTATCTGAGGTCACTTGGAAGGGTGGGTCCTGCCCTCTTTCTGGAGTTGACTCCCTACTCTCCTGGGAGGCCCAGCTGGGTGATGTACTGGTTTCAACTTTTCCTGCTACTGGGGATTAAAGAAATCCACTTTTTCTTTAACGTGTGGTCTGACTCCTGCCCTTGACTGGTCCCAAAAACCTCCCTGTCCTCTTGTATCGCTTCTGCATCTAGTAACAACATTTTGGAATAGGTGGCTGAATGGCAATCTATCAGAAAGGGTTTTATTTTTTGTTCCCTGCTGATATCTGTGGCTAAAACCTCTTTCCTCCTTTCTTGTTTTCCAGACGTGGGCAGGCTTTGTTTGATTCACTCCCTAATCTGACTCATGCAGGTATAAATCACACAGGAATAATAACCAGGCAGTTAATGTCAAATAGGGATGACCACATGTCCACAGGGATGACTAGTTCTTTCATCTTCTTAATAAAATGACATGCTTATCTAGTTTGTAATCCAGATGTTAGTGGAGGTCATTCTATATTTTTGAAAGTATATATTGTTGACTCACTCAGCGCTGGTCCCTCACTCTAGAGGAAGTCCAGTGCTCTGTCCAGGGTTTCTGAACATTCCACAGCCTGGGCGTCCCCTCCACCTGGCCCAGTCTGAGTCTGCTCCGGCAGCGCCTCCCTGGCAAACAAACCTCGCAGCAGCTGCCTTGTAACCCACTTTAGCACTGAACAGAGAGGTGACTCAGCCTCTTTCCTCTGATTGGGACTCTACCATCCAGAAAACAAAACCACATCACTTACAAAAGGCAGTTGTTCACACGGCAGGCTTATTGCATGAGTGAGGATGTTGATTGGGTCTTACATCATTCAGAAACAGAACTCTCAATTGATTATTAGATTGAGTATTAGATATTTCTGTTTTAAAAACCTTCAGGAAGTGTTAGCCAGAGAATTAGGCAAGAGAAAGAGGGGAAAAAAAAAAAAAAAGATCGGACACAGTGGCGCATACCTGTAATCCCAGCAGCTTGGGAGGCTGAGGCAGAAGGATCGTGAATTCAGAGCCGGCCTAAGCAAAAGCGAAACACTAAGCAAATAAGTGAGACCCTGTCTCTAAATAAAATACAAAATGAGGCTGAGAGCGTGTATCAGTGGTCGAGTGCCCCTGAGTTCAATCCCTGGTACCAAAAAAAAAAAAGCATCTAAACAGTAAAGAAGATAGTTAAAGGTAGTTAAACTATTCTTGTTTGCAAATGACATAATCTTAGGTATAGAAAAGCCTAGCCAAGTGCAGTGGTGCACACCTGCAATCCCAGTCACTCAAGAGGCTGGGGAAGGAGGATTGAAAGTTTGAGGCCAGCTTCAGTAACTTAACGAGGCCATAGGAAACTTAGTGAGATCCTGTCTCACAATAAAAGATAGAAAGAGTGGGGATGTGGCTCAGTGGTTAAGCATCCCAGGTACTAAAAAAATACTTCAGCAAAAAAAAAAAAAAAGTTTAATAATAGATTGATTCATTAAAGTCACAGGATATAAGCTCAACATAAAAAATTAGTAAATATTCTATACACCAATGATGAATTAGCTAAAAAAAATCAAGAAAGCAATCCATTTATAAGAACTAAAAACAAAAACAAAAATAAAAACCTAGGAATAAATTTAACCAAGGAGTTGAAAGATCTCTATAATAAAAACTGTAAAACAATGATAAGAAGAAATTGAAGAGGACACTCTCACACACACAAATTGAAGGGCAATCCATGTTCATGGATTAGAAAATTAATTTGTTAAAATATCTATATTACCCAAAGTGATCTAAAGATTCAGTGCAATCCCCATCAAAATATTAGTAGCATTTTTCATGGAGAAACATTTGTGAAATTCATATGGAAACACAAAAGACTCCTAAAAGCCAAAGCTATCTTGAACAAAAAGAGCAGAGCTGGAGGCATCACACTATCTGACTTCAAAACATATTACAAATCTATAGTGAATAAAACAGCATGATGCCAATATAAAAAACAGACACATAGACTATTAGAACAGAATAGAGAACCCAGAAATAAATTCATGTATTACAGCCGACTGATTGTTTTACAAAGGCACCAGGAATGTACACTGGAGAAAGACCATTCTCTTTATTAAATCGTGTGGTGGAAACTGAATAGCCTTATGCAGAAGAAAGGAACTAGACCCCTATCACTCAACATGTACAAAAATCAACCCCAAATGAATGGAAGACTTAAATGTAAAACCCAAAACTAAGAAATTACTATAAGAAAAAGGCACTGGTTTAGGTAAAAAAAAAAAAATTATGTGACCTCAAAAGCATAGACAACAAAAGTAAAAATTGACAAATGGGATTATATCAAACTGAAAATCTTCTGCACAGCAAAGGAAACAATCAACAGAGTTAAGAGACAGCCTACAGAATGGGAAGAAATATTTACAAGATATTTGTAGATAAGGAACTCAAGCAACTCAACAGCAAAAGGCCTAATAATCCAATTTAAAAATGGGCAAATGATCTGAACAGAGATTTATATATATATATATTTACATATATAAATATACAATGCTCTTTTTCTCTTTCCATGGATCTCTAAGGTCAGAGGATCTGGCACAGGACCCAAAGAAAAAGGTATCTTTGTCTCTTGTGTGATTATTTCGTGCAGCCCAGCTCACCTGGAGTGACCCTGAGTGTTTTAGTCATGAGGACCATGACAAAAGGGGAACTCCCATTCACTATTGGTGCAGATGTACATTAGAAAGAATCCTCAAAGGACTAAAAATAGAATTATCATAGGATTCAGCAATTCTACTACTGGGTATGTATCCAAAGGAAATACAATCTGTGTTTTGAAACAATATCTGCACACGTATGTTTATTAGAGTACTATTCTTTTTTTTTTTTTTCTATATATAGAGAGAATTTTAATACTTATTTTTTAGTTATCGGTGGACACAACATCTTTGTATGTGGTGCTGAGGATCGAACCCGGGCCGCACGCATGCCAGGCGAGCGCGCTACCGCTTGAGCCACATCCCCAGCCCCAGAGAGTACTATTCTTAATAGCCAAATTGAAGCAACCTAGAAGATGTCCATCAATGAATGGATAAAGAAAATATGGAATATACACACAATAAAATATTATTCAGTCTAGGAAAAAATGAATCCTGTTATTTATAGTAACATAAATGAAACTGGAGGACATTTCACTAGTGAAATAAGCCAGGCACAGAAAGACAAGTATTGCATGTGGAATCCACGAAATTTTCTTATAGAGGTAGAGAGTAGAATAGTGGTAACCAGAGCCTGGGAAGAGTTTGGGGGAGAAGGGATGGAAAAGAGAAAGGTTAATTGGGACAGGAGTGCATTTGGATAGGAAGGATGACTTCTTATGTTCTATATCACGGTAGGGTAACTGATAAAAAAATAATTGATTGTATATTTCCAAGTAGCTAATAGAGAGGATTTTGAATGTTTCAAACACAAAAGAAGTGATAAATGTTTGAGGTGACAGATATGTTAATTGTCCTCATCTTATCTGTTTGGATCTTAAATGTCCCCCAGAGGCTCATGTGTTGAAGGCTTTGTCCTCAGATAATGGCACTACTGGGAGGTGGTGGAATTTTTTAGAGGTGGGAACTAGTGGAAGAAAGTTCCACAGTTGGGAGCATAACCTTGAAGGGAACATTGGAACTATCTCCTCCTCCTCCCCTCCCCTCCCCTCCCCTCCCGTCCCCTCCCCTCCCCTCTCCTCTCCTCTCTTCTCTTTCTCCTTCCCAGCCATCCGGAGTGAGCATTTGCTCCACTACATTGTCTCTGCCATAATGCTCTGCTTTGCTGCAGGCCCCAAAACAAGGAAGCCAACTGACCATGGACTGAATCTTTTATAACCATGAGCCAAAATCAATCTTTCCTCTTTACAACATTTAACTCAGGTGTTTTGTCACAGAGTAACAAAAACCTCACATGTCGAAATGAGGGGCGGGGGTGGGGGGGTGGGGGGTGACCAGCAACTTGTGTACGTTGATGCAGCAGGAGTAGGAGCCATTTATTGTAGGACAACAGAGGTATTTATACATTCCACACAGCTTATCTTAATTAGCATAAACTAGATACATCAGTCAACCAATAAGGAATCTCCACACTTAATGGCTCACTGGCGTTACTTCACAAACCACTCCCTCTGGCATTTTGCCAGGCACCATCCAGACTTGTTTACAGACTCTAACACTCACACATGATCATTACATATTGTATGTATGTATTGAAATATCACATTGTATCCTATAAATATATAATTATTATGTGCCAATTAAAATTGTTTTAAGTGAAAAAATAGTCCTTCAGTAATATTATATGAATCTATTTTTATTAAGGTCGCAAATTGGCAAAAATTAATCTAATATTCTAAAGGTGTTAGAAGTTAGGTTAGTGGTCAGCATGATAAGGAATCTTCTTATTTTTTAGTTCCTGCAAACCTTTTCTTTCCATATTTTTTATTTATGCACTATAGTTGTACATAATGATGAATTTGTTGTTACATATTTGTACATGCAC